CAGAGGGAGAAGCAGGCTCCCCGCAGAGCAGGGAGCCCGATGTGGGACTCGATCCCAGGACCCTGGGATCATGACCTGAGCTGAAGGCAGACACTTAACCGTCTGAGCCACCCAGGCGCCCCCGTCCATGGGCTTTAAAGCGAGAAATGTCTAACTCCTCCCATTGTCCAACCCACTGTGGGTCCCGGCGCCCTCTAAGGAGAAAGGGAAGATGCAAGAACTCCTCCTGGCCCAGCTGCCGGGCATCGTGCTCCCACCTGTCATGCCGAAGTATGTATCTGCTCCGGGTTTTTATCCTGTAGCCCGGAATGTGTGTTATCTCTAAAACCCCACTGGGGCAAAACCAATGTCTGCCTCGTAGTCTCTAGCCCCCCGTTCCACGCAGCTGGGAAGTCTGATCTAGCCATGGGGTGAGTCTGACTAGCTCTTTGGTTAAACTGGAGCCTCCCGGTCATGGTCACGTTTCTCCCTGACCTTCTATTATTTTAGGTTTTTAAGGATACAAAGAACTTCTAGCTCTTTGTTTCCTAAAGAGAACGGCCAAATTCATTCAAGCAACGTTTTCTCTTGGATTGTGCTTCCCCCGTCATCTCCTGCAAAAGCCGCGCTTAAATGATAGGGATTCCTGACATCAGCCCAGCGTCTACTGGCTGCCATTGGAGGGCCCTGGGCCAGTCACAGAGGTGTGGAGGGGGAAGGTGGAAGATGGAGGGCTGAGGGTGGGGAGATATCATGAAAAGAAAGAGAAGTTACTACTTTCAAGGGTTCATAATTTAGCAGGAAGCATAACCCCATACCATTAACCATAAAGCAAGATGAAAAACCAAGCAGACCACACCCACATACAGCAAACCAATCTAGGTGTGTGGAGACTTCACCTCACTCTGAAGACACTTGACAGTTCTTTCCCTGGTGTGGGTAAGACCCAAGAGACTGAAGAGCACTGTACACCTATTATGTTTATGTATGTTCATTGTTTCTAAACACAGTGGTTTTCAAACCGCTCTTTGGAACCCAAGGTGGCCTGAAACTAACCCTTCACACCTCTGCCAAGAAAACGGGTCCAGGGGGTAGGAAAGGAATCTGTCCCATCTATAGCTTACTTGATGAAAATATCCTGTTGTTTAAAAAAACAACAACAACTGGGAAACGATTTTAACCCAAGACATGGCCTTGGAGCTGGGTTTCTTTACCTTCGCGGTTGCAGGGATGAAATAATGTTGGAATTTTTGTGGCCTGGTTAGGAAACAGCAATCAGAAATCTTGCAGGACTCGAGTGTGTATGGCTTAAGAATGTAGCAGATGTGGAGTCAAAAAGAACATTTGCCTGCATGCCCAGGCTGCTCCGAGAAACAGCCTCTTTCTCGGGACACCTTGAGGGCGGACTGAATTCAAGGAAGATGACTTTTTTTTCTGGTAGTACTCCAGGAACTGGAGCCTTTCAAAACTACATGACATCATCTTTGGCCTCGAGAATTCTGAATTAAGCAAGAGGCTTTGTCCGTCCAGAGTACTAGGGTTAGATTCAGAGGATGTCTTGAAATTATGTCAAAGCCAGAATCTGGTGTCAGAGCCTAATCCTTCCAGCAAGAAGACATGTGACTTCTTCCTCCAGATGAGAAATAATGGTCCTGTCTCACCCGTGGGGAGAGAAGGACCTGCTAACTGGCATTCTTAGAAGGCAACGCTTGCATGGTCCTTTGCCTCTAGAATAAGATTTTTCTCAAGACCCATTTCCCTACTCTACCTTCTCTCCAAATATTGCCTCTGGCTTACCATCACATGGTTAGCCAAATGGAAATCACTTTAGCAAACCACCCTCCACACGCTGCATCCTGGTAATACCCCAAGCTACTCTTCAAGCTTTAATTGCTTCACCAGACACTGAAGTGAAGACCTCTTTTGCTCATCAGTACAGTTTTATCCAGCTCTGCTTCCTCAACTGTGGGTGAGCCTGCTCTCTGCTCTAAAACATTTGGGAGGAGAAGTTGGATATATGATTGTAAAGGAAGGATCCTCACTGCCAACCAATCAAAATGCCAGGATATTATTTTTTAGGGAATCAAATCCATTCGGTACATTTGCGATCTCTAAACCTAAGGATGCAGAGACACAAAATTCATTTCCAGCAAAGGCAGAGGAGGCCAACAGAACTGAATACAGCCATTAGTCAAATGCTTATAAAGGCTTAAAATAAAACTTCTGCTCCTCTTTTTTTTTTTTTTAATTCAATTTGAGGGTTGTGAAGGACTGCGATGAAATAATCCATAATCCGCAATTCAAACCAGAAGGTTTGGAATAGTTTATAACCACAAACAAAAACAAGCCAATTAAGATGGCCTCTTTTTATAACCAGAAGGAATTCCAGAGAGATGTCTTTATCTAATCACAAGTTAACAGCAGAAGAGATACCTCTACGAATTTGAAACTTGCAATTTTTTACTATTACTGAATGTTTACATCACGCAGGCTTCTTGACCCACCTCCTAAGTTCACAGATTTTTCTCGAGAATCAGATAAAATCTCAGCTAGTAGTTAGTGTGTCGGGTAAGGCTCAGGGTAGGTACAAAGAATCTACTGAAAGACGCTACTAACGAAGGTAGGCTATTGGAGGCTTTTCCCAAAATATCACCCAAAATAGGGAGAAAGCACTGTAGATACAGAAGACACCGCTGGGCGTGGAAGGCACAAAGAATGGTCACTTATGCATCTCTTTCCTTTCAATGTTTCTATGGAGGTTGTGACAGCTGGGTGCAAAAATCTCAGCAAGTCAGAATCTGAAGTCCACGACGACCCCTCGCAACTCATTTCACCTCACTGTGCCTCAGTTTCCTCACTTGTAAAATGAGGGTATGGACTGGAGCAGGGCAAGTATCTTTCTCTGCACCAAGGCCAATTTGCAAAACATGAAAAGATTCGGACGGTACTCTTTCCCTCATTCAAAATGAAAAGGGCTTATCAGGTCCCGACTTAGCTGGATTACCACTTTATCAAATGGAAAAACCTTCGTTGGAAACTTGGTGCTGCTTTGGAGCCAAAGAAATGGTAATATTCTGGCGGGCTTCTTTAGTAATAGCGTGAAGACAACTTTCTAATCTTTGATGCTTGACTGAGATGGGGCCACATCGTGAAGCAAGGAGCCCACAAGTGGGAATAGTCACTGTTACCATTAGCTTTGAATTAACATCACCCAGAGCGCTTGTCAAAAAGGATTCTCGGGTTCTTAGGCCCAGGCCCACCGCAGTTAACGGCTCAGTGTGGAGGTCTAGACAGCTCCCTATACTTTCAAGTTCCCCTTTGCAAATCTGAGCCCTAGTTCTCGAGTGGCCTTTGGGAGCCACGGATCTAGAAGATTCTAAGATCTCCTCTGAGCTCTAATGACAAGTCTACACTTGCTTCTGCTACCAGATAATCTCACAGATAAATGTCTTTCAATAACACAACGATGACAACTTAAGTCCTCAGACGGGATCTTATTCTGGACTGACTTCAAAACTGAATCCTCACTGAATATTTCATTCCGTTTATTGGTCAATATATACCAATGGAAAAATGTATTCTGTACTTGGGGGATTCAAAAGCTTCAACGTAGCATGCGAGTAGCCAATTGCAGTGCCTACAGGGACAGCAAGGTAGTATGAAGCATTAAAAAAATAAAAAGGAAAGGAAGGAGAGAAGAGAGGGAGGAAGGGAGGAGGGAAGGAAAAATCCTACCAACCGGCTTCATCTAGTTTTTGACCCTGGATGTAGATTTTATAGTTCACAGGGCTAAGTAGATTTGCTGTCTCAGAGGAGATGAAAAACTTGGGGGTGAAGAATGGCAGGGGCCCAACGAACAATGAGGGAGTTGATGGGTAAATAGAGAGAGAAGGAGGGAAGGAGCGATTCCAGAGGTTGCCAGTCCTCTTTGTGGCTTGGCTGAAGACTTGCAGCTCATACACAACCAGATGGGAAGCAGATGCTGATCGGGTCTCCCAGATGCCCCGCCCCCCATCCCAGCATCTCTCTACTTGACTCCACCCACACACACAGAGTGAATGCAGAATGAGGGGCAGAACATAACACTTAGCTTGTTATCAATCTTCTCTGCGTTGCTCCCCCTCCCCCGCCCCCAGCCAGCCGACAGGATAAGTCCAGGGGCTACCATCTAAAAGCCTTTCTCACAGGGCTCCATCCTCTCTGGACTCGCCTTCGAGGTCACTCATCCCAGCCACCTGGTCACCCAACTTTACATTACTCAAACTCTCCATGTCCAACATCATTCTACCTCCACATTTTATTTCTCCATCTGGCTTTCTCTTCCTGGAAGGCTGTGATAATTCATGTCTAAATTCCATCGATTCTCCAAAATTCTGCTCAGATGGCACGAGAGCCACAAGTCTTCCTTCCCTCATTTCTAAAATGAAACAGTACTATACCTGAACAGGGAACGGATCTTTTTCCACCTTGTCTCTTAATCATAACCACTGCCTCTCCTGGATGGCAAGCAACTAGAACCACTGGCCTATGTGTTCCGCTGATTGGCTGATTGCGCAGTCATTTGTTATTTCGCTCATTCAACAAAAGAAGAATGCCCTGAAACTTATCAGAAGTTTCTTTTGTGTATTCTACACCCACTTGCTGTTGCATGGGGAAAACAGATCCTTGTGAAGATGGAGAAGATACAAAAGCAGGAAAAACGGATTCTGTGAAATTTGTTGGCACTCTCTCTATCAGTAAACAACAATACATTTCTGGGTTTAAAAAGACATTTCATAATATTGTGCAGTATCACGTAACTTATCCGCTGTTCATACAAATGTGTATTCCTGTTCTTAACATCGAGCGTTAAGACTTAAAAATCTAGGCTATGGGGCTGACTCCTAAATCCACGAGGCTAGCTCTGAATAAGCTATCTTTTTCACATGGACAAAAGCTATAATTAGCTTAAGATTTTGCAAAACTATGAGCCACCATGGCAAGGAGTCAATCTCTTTGTTCTATCAACAGATCCAACCAAGTGAAAAATTATATTATTTATATTTACAGAGGGTGCTTGGTAAAACAAATGTTTAAGTAAATTCATGTCTATGAAACACACATTTTATAATACTTCATATGAGCATTATATTGCTTTATAAACAGGTACATATATCCCAGGTCTTAAACATCTTACACACACATTTACTCCCATCTTAGAATCTGAGTCAGAATTCATGGCAGGTATCTCTACAGTAAATACCAGATTATCCGAATCACATCATGCTTGCCATCTTTTCCCATTCCAAAACCCTGACATCAAACCATTATATTAGTTTGTGGAACAATATGCTATATCTGGCAAGAAACCCTGGTTATTACGGTGGGGCTAAAAATGAATTTCATTTTCTTGACTCTGTGTCTCTTACTGTCATTTTACTATGTTACAGAGATATCCCAGGTTACTTCATAAGGAAAGAAAAAAAAATATTCAATTGCGAAGAAACTGCACAACTTAATCTGATCATTGTGTGGAGGAGAAAATATTTCCAATGACGACATCTTCCTATGTCAATTGATTTTATTACAGATTTCATCTGTGTGCTATATTAATACAGCTCCTTTCTTCTTCTTTCAAGATTTTAATCTTAGTTTGTTGCTCTAACGTTTTATTGGTTCAAAATACATGCTGTAAAATCCGTGGCCATCAAATTTTCCTGTGGGCTAAAAATAACCCGTTCCTGTCAGTTAGAATTAGCTGATAAAGAGTGTCAGAGCCTGTTCTGAATAAGTTTGATAACTTCCTGTTTATGCAGCACTGACCCTTGTCTAATAAAGCTTCTTTGCCCTAGAATAAGAGAAGATTCTGCTGCATTCTATTCCTTAATGGCCAATACTGATTACTTTTGAAAGCCTTTAATACATTTCCCATATTAGACATGAACAGATGTCAGGTATGTTGCCAAGGGAAATTTCTTTTATGCAATCTTGGCTTGTTGTACAATAATAGCCCTTTCTCAACATGGGAAAAAATTACAGACCCAACTAATTTCCCTGACAGGGGAGAGTTACATATGTTTTCCACTTGTAGTTTTTACGACAAGTTTACAATTTTGCCAAACCTGGAACTAATTGGGATCATTTCCAAAAGCGGCCCAATAAACCCCCAAAAGTGTGGAGCCATTTGAGAAGGCAGTCAGGGACGGTTAGCTTTTGTATTTTCTCCATTTTGGTCAGAGAAGGGGTGGGGGAGTTAGATTGCAAAATTATTTCATTTAAGTTGCTTAAACACTTACTGTTTCATATCCTCCCAGTTTTTGAGCAGCTTGAAACATAGTCCAAAGGTTAACTGTTAGAGGGACAATAAGTATTTAGATAAGCATTGCATTAACATACTTCCAAGAAATGTCAATTAAAACATTTTGTTTTGTTTTCAATGAGAAAGAGGAAAAAAAAAAAAAACACAACCAAAAACCAAAACACTAGTACCCCAGAGAGCTAAGTTCTTAGGAAACAATTTGCCAAAGAGCATTCAACAACAGGATATATTATTACCACTTAAAATATTTCTTAAGAAACAGTCACAAATACGGAAATGGTTCTACTTTGGGGATAAAGGACAACACAGTTTTAATCCTGTTGCCATCAGCAGACCCAGGGAAGCTAAGTTACAGCGTCCTTGGGGAAAAGAGTGAGATTTCAAAATTAGGGTTGGTCTTGTTCAACCCTTAGAAAGAAGCCATTGATTAAAGAGTACTACATCATGCTTCCTTCAGATAAGAACTTATCATAATCAATAAATACCAGCCACTGTAATACATGATTACCTTTTTAATAGAATGTCTGATGGCAGCACTATATTAAGAATTCATACTGTATTTCACTAACACGTGGTGCCTTGCAATGAGTAGGAAGACACATATTTTACCCTTGAAGTCTTGGTGACATAACAGATCAAAGCGAAGGAAGAACTCATTCACAGAATTGAGTCCTGAGTCCAGTTAGTCCCCTAAGTGATGTTTTGAGTATATACTCTTCTAACACAGATTTCTCTTTGCAGGGCTTGCATACGTCTATTCTGTTAAACAACTATGCCAAACTGCTGGCAAATCTGTTCATTTGTCCCAAACACCATGGAATGGGACTGCTATGGATTTGACTCTTTTACAAGAGGGGGAAAATTGAATTTCGGGTAATTCCTTGGTAAGGGAAATGAAGAATAAAATTAAAATTAAAAAAAAAAAGGCTCTTTGACACAACACATTGGAAAAGCCTCATTGAACCTTGCACTATTTCAAAGCTATCAAGAGCCCTGCCTCGGCCCTGATTTAATCTGAACCAATGCATAATGCAACAAAGCTGTTCATAGTACATTAATTTTACTTCTATTTCAAGCAACCAGTTTTCAGACAAACATTGTAATCATTCGTAGTTACATAAGTTTATAATGGCTGCGAGTGTTCTCTTGCAATCAGTGCCAATTGCTATTAGGTATGTAAATTGTTATGTAAAACATACAGGTTTGACATTCTTCATCAAAATGACACATGGTTTTAATCTAGGAAGATATGTTTGGAGAAAATACTATTTCAAGCCAGGGGCTCATTGCTTTGTGTGCTACAAAATCCAGACAGAGGCAAAATACATATATTCGGTTGTGAAATCAGGACCGGATCTGGGTTTCTTCTCTTTTTTCTATGGAATTCTGCTCAGCTGCGAGTTTCCTTTTCTACTTAAAAATGTATTATGATGCTTAAATGTAATCCAAAATTGGGCTTTCGGTTCAAATCTGGGTATTTCATGTTTCCTCTTAAGTCAGGTTTTTGTTATCTCTTAACAAATTTGGGGCTTAGGAAATAACGTTTTCTCTTTCTGGTTGTTTTGTCCACCTTTCAATGTCCTCCTCTTTAAAGCTGCCTTTTTGCAGGCAACATCTGGGCCTGATAAAGCGACGTCATATTATTATCTCAGAAGAAAGGCGTTACAGACACTCAAGATTGACAAAACAGAAAATGAGAAACTTTCAACATGTCTATTTCCAGTCATAATCAGTGGATTCAAGCCTATAAATATCTCACGGCAACTGCCCCAGAAGGGAACAGCGTAACGGAAAGGGGCAGGGAGAAAAATTCCTGGGCTGGATGATTTGTAGATTTAGTATAAACAGAGAGAGCATCATCCCCAGATTAGGATTGCAACATAACCCTGAGTCAAAATTTTTTCCCAATTTAAAGAATAGGAGCAGTTTTGATCTTTCAGAAATGAAAACAAGCATACTTACTCTGTTTAAAACCTAAATAGGGTATTCGTTCTATCGGCGTCTTCCTCTCTTTCATGTATTTATAAAGTGCCACCAAGAAAGCCTGCTCATCTGCCCTGCACTCTTCACCGATGGCAACCTTTGGTTTCTCTTCATTGGAGACTTTTTTACAGTTATTATGGTTATTCTTCGGCTTGGACAAGGCTGACCTGGCCTCACATTTCACCTGGAAAAAGGGGGAAAATATGCCACATCAAATCAAGTACTGCCTCGGAACGCTCAACAAAGACACAGCCATGACACTTCTCACAGTGCGGGAGGGGTGAGCCAGTAAATTAACCTTGCCCTCAAGGAGCTTTTTGGAGGCAACACCGAATATGAATTGTCTCAGACCAGTAGGTGGTAACTTTCCGTAAAGGGCCGGGTAGTAAATATTGCAGGCTTTGGGGCCAGATCGGCTCGGTTGCAACTACTCAACTAGCACAGAAGCGGTCACAGACATATAGGCGAATGGGTACGGCTGTGTTCCAATAAAACTTTATTTATAGAAACAGGTGGTGAGGGGGCCATGGTTTGCTGAACTATGCCAGCCTTAGAGTCCTTACAAGTACGCTGATAGGAAACCAGAAACAGTGTCCGCATCTGGTGGGAGTGGGACCATTCTTTTGCCCCTTTACACACTTTTATTTTCCCAAGGGGCACCATCTGTTAATGTCATTGAACAAAGCCCTGTCTTCTTAGTAAATAGTCCCATATTTTGCACTTTGAATCAACATGAAAGAAAGTTTACTTCTTCAGAGTAAACTTCTTTTGTTGCTATTATTTCCAGCCACCTGAAAAAAACATGTCAATGCCGGCAGATGTTGGCATCAGGAACACCAGCAAGGTGTGTTCTGTCTCTCACTTGAGGGGGATGCCCAGATATGCCCTCAGTAGGAAACAAAAGATCTCACTCTTTAATGGCTTTTCGGTCAGCTCTGAGCATGTAATAGGAGATACTAACTTGCCACAAAGGAGAGTAGAGGTCAGTTAAAAACCGAAGAAGAGTAAATGGAAAGCACCATATTTAAAAACTAATGGTGGCCAACGTGCCAGATGTTGTTCCTTCCACAGTCTAGGCGAATATGGAACTCAGCAAACTAAGTAGCTAACCTAATGTTCCCTGCTCACTGCCATGTTCTACAAGAGGCCTTTGATGGTTGTTAAATATAACGCTAAGTTGCTGAGCTATTTTAATTGTAAAAGGGGGAAGTACAAAGGGTCAGACTTTGAGTTCAAGCGCGCCCATGGGGAATGTGTACATTCCGATATTCTTTACATCTCTATATCTAACATCGAAGAGAAGAGGGCAAGTGCTGGGGAAATGTTATGAATAAAAATGTCCCACATATTCGACATTGTTTTCCATTTCAGATTTTTGACCCCTCTTTCTCTTTCCCTTCAGCGTCTCCTTCTCAGGCCTTAAGAATATAAAAGGCTATGCTTATTTATAAAAGGGAACTGTATCCTCCTGCCAGGGCTTTCTTTAACTTATTCTCTCAAGTGAACATGTGAGGTTAATATCTTTAGACTGGTTCTGGAAAAAATAAAACTTCCTGTACAACTCATTCAACTGGGCCTCTAGATAAGATTTTAATTTTTAAGGGGCTGTGGAAATGGGACTAAAACATTCTTCCATGTAGAATTTTTACTTACAATATTTTCGAACTTTAGTACTTTGTCACATTACATTAAGGAGAACATCCTGTGAAATTTATGTCGTCATCATTTCTCACTGTCAAATTTTAGACTGAGTCTCAATTTCTGATGAAATCTCTAATTTAATGCCTTTTTGAAATCAGAAAATCATTCCAGTTTTAATCTGTATTGCCCCTGGCCTTTCGTGAGTGCTTACGATGTAGCCAAGCTCCATTCTAAGCACTTTTTAAAGCATTATCTCATTTTATGTCCACAACCCTAGTGAGGCTCGTGATTATTCTTGCGTTAGAGATGAGGAAACTGAGGCACAGAGGGGATGAGTGATGGCCACAGGATCATGTCCAAGTTAGTAAGTGGTGAGCTTGGATCTGAACCCAGGTAGTCTCATTCTAGGGCTTGTGCGGTATTAAACACTATAATTTACTGACACTCATAAAAAATGGAATCGATAGTCAAAACGTACTTCCACTTAAAAGCATATCTTATTACTAGGCATTACAAAACCTACAGCTTAGAAACGTGATCTATCAAATGAGGAATACAAGATAAAACTAGGTGGTTTCCAAAGTATAAAAGGGCTCCATTCCTTCTATTGTATATTGAGCAAAGGGAAGGAAACCAGTATCAATTGAGCCCCCACAATGAGCTGGATACAGTGCTGTGGGCTTCCCATAGTCCACCAAATGTTCATAACAACCATCAAAGGAGGCCTCTAGCTCCATTTTACAGTTGAGGAAAATGAAGCTCGGCGAGGTTATGTATTTTGTTAGTCGGTTCATGGGGGCAGAACTCTGGGTTTAGACTCAGGTCTGCCTCACTCCAAACCCTGGTTTTGCACAAACAGGAGTAGATATAAGATTTGCATATAAAACAGCCTGAGTCTTAAATTTGCAGCGATCATGGGCCATTATTTATATTATGAGGTCAGAAGTACCACTGTTAAGGGAGTATGAGCATTCCCTCAGTGTCTAGATGGCTGCCTAACCTTCTGCCGCAAACTGTGCAGAAATACCCAGAAACAGAAGGAAAGCACGGACCAGGTGCACAAACCAGGTCCAAAATCATTCAGACTCCCTGCTTTGTAGAGAAGGCTCCTGGGAAAGCCAGGCTGCTGCCTACTGAGCTCCATCCCGAACCCAGGTGGGTGAGCCAGCAGGTTTCTCCTCTCTGGGGCGGGGGGTGGGGACGCGCAAAGGCTTTGTAAGAAGTGAGCAGCGGTTTCCTTTCTCGGGCTAGCTCCATACATTTCTTCAGTTAACATAAAGAAGCCCTTTAGGCTATTACTCTGTTCCTGGGTAGGACCTAGCCAAGTTCCTTTCTACATATTCTCACATTTACCCCAAATATTCTCATTTTAATCTCCTGCAATTTGAAACAGGAGCTGGTCTTCATGTTGACCTTGAGAAAGACCAACCTTCTGATGGTGACAGTTAATTACGAGATCTGTTTTTCCCAACCTGAATGCCTTCTACTTGTTGAGTTCACTAAGAGCTTTGGGGTTTCTAAAGTGATTGAGGAAGTGCTAATTAAAGAATCCACATTTAATGTTTTCAATGAGCCACCACCTATTTGATATTAACCACATCCTTTCACTGGACTGGCAGTTAAGATGTGATGAACCAGCAAGAAAGAAGCAGCTATAATCTAATTTTGATGTGGTCACTAACTTGCTGGAAGACCCTCATCTTCTTCCCAGTGAAGAAGGAAGAATAATTCCTGGGGGTGGTTCTGAGAACCAAACTGGATGAAACATAGTGAAAATAACGAAAGTATCACATTTGTGAAATATCAAAGGGATGTTTGTGATTTAAGTGGAAGAACATATGGCACACCACACCATGGTTTCCCTCTTTTTGTTCCTTTTAGAATATAAACCACCTGTAATATACTTCTGGCCTTTCGAAAGTGCTTACAGAATCTGAAAAGTCATTTGCCTTCTATCTGTGGGCCTTCCATTAGAGGCCTGGACCAAGAAGATTTTTCTTGTACAGATCCCCATATGAATGGGCTTGGACCCACATCTGCTGCATAAGATGATCCCAGGGAAATAGCAGGATTTGGCTGGACACTTTCAAGACATCTTCAGAGAACTGATAGCCTCTTCCCCGGGTGACTTTTGCTGTCACGGGATCCTCTGTCCCTAACAAACAGAGTCTTACAAAGCTGGCTTTTATGTTCTCATTGAGAGAGTGCAACCTTTTGATGGCAACAGGCAAATTACTCGAACTGCTCTTCCAGCCATGCAGACCACAAATCCAGGAGGTTCTCATGCTAGAGAGCTTTGCTGTGTGGAGCTGGTATATATCCATGGTTAGAAATAGTCTGTTTGAGACACTTTCGCAAAACAGTCACACAGGTCTTGGTCATAAAGCCAAACTGTTACTTGAAATATTGCTTCCAGTTCAGCAAGTGATCAGATGGTCACAAGCTTGTAATCTCTATGACAGTGTTTCATGAGAAAAGACCCCTTTAAGACATAAATGCCTTTCTAGTGGTCATCCTCGTCCCAGGGGTGGCCTGTTTATTCTGTAGAGACTTTCCATCAGTCTGCTGGTGTCAACACACAAGCCCGCCATACTTTATACCTACTAGTTCTTTCTTTTAGTTGAAGTGGTCTTGCCAGACCCGTTGGAAGCAGCCAAGGCAGAACTGTAATCCAAGACTCTGAGAAGAGCTAGGTGTTTAGACCAGTGCCTGGGGGCTGACTGCGGCAGGTGCCTCATCCACTCACCACTGAAACCAACGATGGAAGGGTGATCCGCCTCCTTGTAAAGATTCTGAACAGCAGCGTTGGTGGGAGGGGTGTGGAAAGGGTCCCTCAGAAAACCCAGGTTTGGCTACGATCCCTCCTAAGAAGTCAGTGAACATCAAATATAGAACAGGCTCCTGTTCTCTGCAGTTTTGTGGGTCCTACTGTGAGGCTTGAGCGGCCTTCGCCGGTGAGAATATTGGAGGTGCTGGTCTTTCAGATCAATTCGTATGAGTTTTGTAAAATTCCCAGAGGCATACTTCATTAGTAACTCCAAATGACATGGGAAGGAGCTTCATCCTGCTGGGCTCAGGTACAGAACATACTGGGGTAAACACATGATGTCACCTTGGAGGTATGGGGCAGGGTGCCAACATAAGGTACCAGCAGTGCAAGCTTGGCTAAAGGCTAGGATCCTAAAACCTTCTCGGTCTGTTCTACAATATTGCAAACCACATCACAGGGAATAAACTGTTCCTGCTGACATTCTTCAAGATCATGGAAGCTGATGGGTAGTTCTAGGGCTGAGATGTCCAAATTACTAGAAAATGTCATTCTTGGTACCCATGTGCACTCATTTGCAGAAGGTCAAAAGAGCAGGACAAAAATAACTTTAGGAAAGCAGATCGGTGTATAGCCAGAAAATACACATTTCTACTGGTTGATCTCTGTGTTTTAACCCTTTGCATTCTTGGAAGCACGAAGAAATCCTAACCAAAAAGTCCTCAGAACTTCCTGATTAAACAATCATCCGCTGAAAGTAAGACTTGTAAACTGTGACTGTCTAGGGTTGGCTTCATTAAACTGGGAAGAGGAGTGGTATACAGAGCAGAGTAACAGCAGACTGTCAACACAGAACCAAATTCATATTTTCCTACATCAGAATCTTCCAAATTCACCACTAGTGAAAATGCTCCCATTTTCATAAGCTTAGTTCCTGGATCTGGAAACATAGTATCAGTTGACATCTGGTCTTCAATCCGGGTCCTAAAGGGGTTATTGCTGTCTTTGGCACAGAATCAACACCTAAGCGCAAAGACCCAGTAAACAGAACCGTGCAAATCTGACCAACCTCACAAAAGTCAAAAAGGTAAGTCTAAAAATATAAAGTGACACTTCACCCTTCGTGGTGCTAAATACCTCAGGCATGCACTTTCAAGACTCCAAGGAATGCTTGGGCAAAATGGGCCTGGGCCCGAAAAATAGTTTAGAATTTGGATTTTCATTCTGTGTTAAGAGAGATCTTCAAGAAGATACAAATGTCTATATGGGTACCTGTATCCATGTAACTATTTTTCCATACAGGTAAATATCTTCAGTTTTACTCCAAGGTAAATTAGAGGTGACTTTGAAAAAATATAACTAAAAAACATAATTCTAGCTATTTCTAATTTCATCCTCTGTTAATCTCTGCAACATATTTAGATGAACACATTCAGAAACAGGATGGTTCATCTTGGTCTATTTTTGATACAAGCAGAGTAAACTATGTCATTGTGTCACCTTCTATGAAATCCTCAGCTTCAATGACGTGGGCGCTTAATCATCTGTCCTTTACCCAACAGGCCAGACTGGGAGGTGGGAAGTCTTTCTGTTGACTAATCAAAATGCCTACGCTCCCCCTTCCCCCAACCACCCAGGGGAGGGAACAGATACAGAGAGCTGTGAATACCAAAGCCAGATTCTGAATTGAAAACTGCCACCAAGACACAAGAGCAGAGAGATAAAGAGAAAAGGGAAAAATAACAAGAGGCAGCCAAATGGAGAGCAGGGAGCGAACGACCGTACCTTGGCCACAGCCTTGCCATCGGAGTTGTTGTTGGAATCTTTAACACCACTGAACGAATCTCTTCTCTGTGGGCATGGTTTCTTTTTGCGTGGTCTGCCTTTAAGATTTGGCGCTGAAAACAAACGAAGAACAAACTGATGTACATTTTCATTTGCATGGGTTTCCTTATTAAAGACCAAGAATGTTAATAAAGTGGTGCCCTCTAACCTGTTCGGAGGAGCGCACCCACGTGTGGAAGCCAACCTTCACGTTATGCCCCCTTCTCTGAAGGGCTGTGTCTTGGTAGACTCTACAGTTCTTCCCAAAGCTAACATGTCTAATTAGTATAAATAAAATGAAGCTCTCGGCTCTCAAGGACAATAATCAGGAAAATGCACTTCCCTATTGTTAGAAAAGAAACATGTTGAGCTGAAGGACAACCCTAAGCCAGGCTCCGAGATGATTCCTTTTGTTTTGTATCTCGTTTTCAGAAACCTAGGTGATATGCCAGCCCATTACGGTATCATAGTAATGTAGCATTTGAAAGCCTCTCTCCTCAAAAGTGGAGACATGAGTGTTTTCTGAAATTATGATCCAAATAAGCTGACAGGATACAAATAAGTAGAGAGAGAGCACAGAAAGGACATTCATGATACCAATCAGAAAGATATTCTTACAGGTATTTACTAATAATATTGCAACCAGCATGTTTTAAATCTCAGCAAATCTGGCAGCTACATTCAAATCAGCATGCTCTCTTTTCCTTTTCAAGAGAGTTTTTATGAAGATCTCAAGGGTTATTTAAAATAACTTGCAAAAATCACACTGAGGTTGGCCTGATTCTGTGAAGATTATACTTTTTTAAAGCCACAGACAAGATGCAAATCAAAGCTCTATTTCATCCTTGATGTTGAGCTCGATCCCTTTAAGATCCACAGAGAAAGCAGCAAAAAGAAGGCTGCTATTTATCTAGTGCTCTGACTGTCCGGCATCAGCTTTCACATTGAGCTCCATCAGTCACCCAAGCCGAGCAAAATTAAAACAAACCACTAACCGAGCAGCTCTCGAACAATTCCAAACGAATGAATTATCCCTCAAGCAGTTTTCTTCCAGCCCTTTCGAGGCACCCACACTTTTTTTTTATTGCTTTAAGGTAGGATGATGACAGCGCCAATTCTGAACAACTCCAACGCTGTTAATTGTTGTTCAACTTCCTGACATCACACAGTTAACCAGGGATTTTAGGACATTTGATGTACTCATCTCATCCACATAACGAGTCCCACTCATTTGATTTTTCTACTATGGATAACAGCTCTGCTGTTGGGAAAGCTCAGGAAAGCAGAGCTAGCTCCTTTCCAGTCCGGCAAAAGTTTAAAAAGTGGCTTGTGGGGCTCAGCTCCCCCTCCCAAACCCGCTCTCCGCTCCTTCCCCCCCTCCCCAGACGAGCGTCCAGAAGTCCATCCCCCAAAGCCAGCCTGGAATTATCACAGGTAAACAAACTCACAGACAAACATCAAGCAAAGAGAAAGTAGCGATTACCCATTCCAGTCGACAAACATCTGCCTGAGGATGTCTGTGCTCACGAAAGCTACAGCATGTGACTGCTTCCCGGCCCCGTCCCTGGAAGTCTTGACTTGGTGTGGAGGTCAGCTTCCCTCCCAACGCGAACGCGAATGCGAATGTGAATGCGAGCTGCCAGGCTCCGCGCTCTGCTTACAACTCCCCTCCCCCGGCAGCTCCATTACTCATGTAAACACACAGCAGTGACTAGCACGGAGTGTGTGGGATGAGCTCTGAGGACTTTGCCGGAGTTGCCAGACTGGCAGGGAGGGCTCTGCTCCCCCCCTCCCCCCTCCCCCCGCCGCCCGCCCTCCCTGCGCCGGGTTGGTGATTTCATCGGGCCTGTTTTGTGGATCCTGACCTCCTTCTCCCCTGTCACAGCCTCATGCCACCACCTTCCATGAACTGACCCGGGCCTTAGCCCGGAGCCAGGGCGTGGACTATTTTGGTTTGAAGACTCAGGGTAGCACAGAGGTGTTTCCACCACGGACCCAAGTGCTAAGACTTTAATGAGTGTGAGGGAAGGATGTACTTTCATGTCCCTTATCAAAATAATAGCCGAGCAGAAAGCTGACAGAAAGGGAGCATGATGTGGGGTAGGTCTGAGACATTTCACGAAAAAGAAACATAACAGTATCGTCTCTGTTCTCAGACTTGTTAACTATGATCTCTCCTTCCTCACATTTTGGCAAAAAAACACTTAAACCTAAAAGCATTTCTTTCCAGAAAGCTTTCAAATCCCAAAGGCCTTTTAGATAGAACTTGTACTGAACAGGCTGTTTTAAATACAGGCAAAGGTTCCGGGAACCGACAATAGGTCATCCTCAAATCGGGTCTATTTTCTCCATTCTTTGAGCTGTTTTCAGAACGCAGAGAAGCACATGCCCTTCCCCAGCAGATTCTGAGAATTTTAAATTTAGAACAGGCTAGCACCTAATATTCTGGTCACGCAAACTTAAACTCTAAATGGGACCTGATCAAGAGAAAAAGCCTTTTGTTCCTGAGGCAAGTGGCTGACATTTCAGGTAGGCTAGGCAAATCCCACCAATGGCTCAAGCCTCAGACTCACGTACCTCTCTTCTCATTTCTCCTCTGCCCTCCTTTCCTGGCTTTCTCTTCTGGAAGGTACCATGGTCTTCGTGGTACTTTAGCTGTAGTTTATGGGTTATTATCATCCTCAGTTGGAGGGTCCTTCAGGGCAGGACCATGTGGGATTCATCTGTCACCTGCCCAGCACACACCCAGGAGATGGCATTACATGATATCAGCCTGGTGAATGAATAAGTGACGGATGAAACTAAAGATGCCCACATGTACCTCCTTCAAGTCTTCACAAGCCAAGCCCGCCAACCTGCCCATGTGCGCACCTGTCACACCGGGCACCTGTAAAACTGCCTTCTCCTTCTCTATTTACACTTGAGCTCTGGGAACGTAACCCAGGTAAACAGGTTAACCTGACTTCCAAGTTTGCTCTGAGAATTGAGACAGAAAACCTAAGGCCCTTGGTTCCTGATGACCGTTAAGCCTTTGTGTCGGGCGCTCGGAAGGACTGTGATCTTGTCTCCAGTGCCCCAGTGCCCGGAAGAGCTGATGTTCAAAGTCCCAGGGAGAATGGAGCCTGCAGGACTGGGGGGTGGGGGGTAGACCCCATAATGCAATCTGAAACCTCTGGGATCTGTAAGACCCCAGGCGAAGCTTTGGGATTGAGGGGCTGGCTTTTTGCGGGGGGAGTAAAAATTCTGGTTCCCAGGCTACTTTTTGTTCTTACAGAGTCAAGAGAACAAATCATTTGCCAGGCGGGTGAGTGAAAACAAATGCTTTATGGTGTGGTGGTGGTCAGGGGTGTGGGAAGCCGGGAGCATGCTTGTTGAGAGCACAACTGGCTCTAGTCAGTTCCACTACCAAAAAAAAAAAAAAATGTGTGAAGCAATAAATGCACGGTGACTTTTACATGTGTATATAATCCACAGCCCAGCTCTGGCCTGGCTCATTCACGGAGTTCAGTCAATGCTCTTTACATGAATGTTTTCAATATTACACACGAATAATAATAACAGCTGCTATTTACTGAGCACTTTCTCTGTGCCAGTCAGCACTTTGCATACAATAACTCATTTAAAACCCGCAGCAAACCAACAGGAAGGTGAGATTATTATCCCCATCTTCCAGAAGAGGAAACTGAGACAGAGATGAAATTACTTGTCTTAGGTCATGCAACTGGTTACGGGTAGCAGAAGGATTCCAACCCAGAGTCCCTGTTTTAAGTAACTTCTGACAGACAGACACAGGCCCTCATTCTGTCTCATAATGAGATATTTATATGATTAACTTGGGCTGGCGGGCACCAGGGAGCTTCCCCCAAACACCACATAGCACAAGGGTGCTAGAGTCCATCTCAGGCAGCCAACGGCATCCTACAGACCTGACATGGAGCAGGGTCCCCATCGACCTGACTCAGTAGCAGGTAAAGGCTTCCACTAAAGCCACATAGGTCTAATAAAACTTAGAGCGCCGTGCACATTCCCCCTTTGCAGTGGGCCACTGATTCCTCTGCCTAAACAGTGAAAGATCTCTGTGGTTTTTAAAAAATCTTTCCTCTCTGACTGCCCATCTGTTCCTCCTACTCAGCGTCATGAAATTAACAAGCACGCACCTCTGTGAAGTCACTACTATTTCCATGCCCGTAATCCCAGGGGCATCAGTGATCGCCAGTGCTCTGGGCTACTTTGACATCTGACCTGTGTGTTTTGTTTTTTCCTCTTCTTAACTCCGTCAAACATTAATAAAATAAAGCCTTTTTTTTTTTTTTAGGCAACATAAGCAAAAGGTTTTGGGGTTTGTTTCTTTTCTTAAAGGGTCTAGAAGCTCAGGGTTTGCAGGCATTCATTTATATATTCCCTTCACTATGGGTTCTGACAAGTTATGTGTCAGGGCAGCGCAGGTGTGGGAAACTTTCGGCTCAACCCCAGCTCTTGAAATAATAATAATAAAACAAAGGAAATGTAACCAGTTACTGGCAAAGTAAATTGCTTTTGGCTTAAACGTTCCTGTTTTTTTCTACTGTGTTCTTCCTGTCATGACCGTCTCTCTTTTTTTATAACATTTATGCTCTTGGAAATACCACGAAGATAAACTGCTATAAAAGCAGGATTGACTCATCAGTTAACAACTCTTTCTTCTCATTTTGCAGAGAGGATTTTGTTGCCAAAGCAGCTCCATATTCTCTCGAGAAATTCTTTGTGAGCTTCCACTTAGCGATAGGACTTGCTTGCTGGTGGGGACTGCAATTAGGGGGATGGAAAACCAGGCTTCATTTTCTTAAGAGTTTGACCCCCAGGGTCAATATCTAGAGGAAGTTGGCAGAGCGTTAACTCACTTGATTTGCAAGTTTTGCGTGCATGCGTGCACGTGTGTGTGTGTGTGTGTGTGTGTTTTAAACACTAAACACAAGCCAGAAAACTAAACTCCCCTGACTGATGTATTAGGGACTGACAAACATCATTCCTTGTATAGTACGCATTTCTGATAATACTTTGCATTTCTGTAAGGCCTTTCCTCTGAGGATTTCAA